TGATGGGTACTGAGAAAAATAGAAAGAGCAAAGTACATGGATATGAAAGGAAGAGCAAGAAAGAGGCCATTAAAAAGAATGACAACAAAAAAAAAGAACAGAAGTTGAACTACAAAAGAAGTGACAGTGAACAGAGACATCTCTTCATTTGTCATTTGAGTATCATGAAAGACTAGGGTAGCCAGTTCAGTCCATGAAATGAAACTACAGTATACATTCTTTCATACCTTCTGATTTCCTGTTAGTAGCTAACTAAATTACTACAACTGCAGAGCTTTGTATCTGTATCATCCATATGATTATGCAGTGACATTTCTGAGCAAAGCATATTCTGCCTCCTTGCGCTTGTTTCTTCCACAACGCTGTTGCCAGGAGAATACATTACTCCCTCATCTAACTTCTGACAGACCATGTTATGTTCGTGTTTCGCCTGTCAAGTGATTGACTTGTACTGCTGACCTTTGAAACAAACCAAAGTCTGCACAGAAAACGGATGAAGGGTTAGAGGGAAACACAATCAGATGGGTAGAAGATGGAAAGTTACAGAGACAGAAAAGGACATCGTCACTGTCTTTACAGTGTCACTGTTGTTCTTACAGTATGTACCCAGTGTTGACCCTGCTCTGTTTTGATTAATGATGAAGTCATTGAATTACTGTCCTTGATTGAGTTCTAAAATGCTGCTGATCCAGCAAAATCCAATGTGCAGTGTAAGTAAGAGTAAAGTCTACAGGGGGCAGTTATGGACTTTATTTAGTCCTTTGTTTTATTACTGACCTTAGGTTGCTGTATGAGAGACAGTTAACATCACCTAACAATGATCATTCATAAAGAGTTTGTGTTTCTTAGGAACTGTGATGTAACTGTTACCAACTTTTCCAGAGCACATTGGTAGTAAGTTACTCATGTTGACATAACATTTACTCAGTTATTAAAGTAAAATAAAAAATTAAGTGTAAAACTGAGGCTTTTCAATTGGATAATTCATTTCTTGCTTAGAAGAATTTCTCATTTTACATTTGTCCCTCATTTATCTGAGGCAAAAATTTCTGAATGTATCTAAAGGTCAAAGCTTAAATATAAATATAATGGTAAATATAATGATCTTGTCATATATTCTGCACATCACATTATTTTATTATTATTATATTGGGTGGATCTATGCCACAAAAACTTGAAGTCCACTTCAAGTACTCACTCATTTAAATTTACATTAATAGAGAAAAACAAAATGATGTAAGTCACTTGTTTTATGCTTTTCTGAAGTGGAAGAAAATCCCCATTCTATGACTGTGTGTGTGGTGAATGCAAAATAATACAGCCTTACTGGATGTAAATATCATCAAAGCAAGCCAAAGAGTGTTGTTCCTTCGCCACTGTGTGACAGCCAAAGACTCACTGTGGCAGTAACCGAATGCTAACTGCAAAAACTCCTTGTGTGGTTAAGCCTTTTAAAGGGCTGGATTTTGAAATGCGGGCTCCTTTTGTTGCACACTCCCCAGACAGGTGGCTCGTGAGCTGGTGGAGTCTTCGCTCCCTTCAAACAGCAGCGCAACATTTTGGAACTACACACAGAACTGTGAATGTTATATTAGAATGAACATGGGAGAATGATTTACATGAATTCACACCTTATCTTTCACCAAATATATTAACATGTTATATTGTGGGTTGAGCAGGGACACCGCAGGTGCTGTGTCATCTCCAAAATCTTCAAAATAAAAGCCTTATTGTAGCCTGTCCTCCAGTCTGTATATAATCTCTAGAATCTAAAACATCCTTTGGTTTGATATGACAGTAATTTGCTAAGTAAAATCAACCATAACACTATTACACATCAAAGTTAATGTCGTTGTGTGAAATCCTCATGAACTGCTACCTAAACTTTTTAAAAATCCCTTTTAATAATTAGAAGTGGATAAAGGAAATCAAGTATTTCCAATAGTTAAAATGTTGTTTTCACTCCAGGACGTTCCATTTGTTCCAAGCCCTTCAGCAATGCAGCTTGTGCTGTGACACATTTCTGTAACTTTCTGTTCCCCCCAAAAGGTTCTTTCAGTATAGCAGCACTTTTACCTGACAAGGTCCTCCTGGAGCAAAGCCTAATGAGATAAGCCTTAATTCAAGGCCCAGGTCAGGACAAGACGAGTACCAGACTTAATCAGGTTTCATTGTTCTGTAATATTTTGAATATCATTAGTAGCTAGGGGTGTCCTGAGAAAAACACTGCAGCAGGCATGTCATGGGGAAGAACTGGCTGGGGAACGGGCTGCTCAGCTGTATCCTACCTGCATTTTAAAGCTTCTGCAGGCAGACTTAGTTCTGGGGCCAGATGTATGAATAATGCATAGAATCCACAAAGATGGCTTATGCCACTTTTCACATAGAAACTGATGATTTTTTAAACAAAGTGTAACATGTACATTCGTATACTGTCATCCAAATGATTCAGCATGAAGGGGTTTGTGGGTATAATGTGGTAAACAAGATAATGTTATTATATAATGCTATTCCTAATATTGGAGATGGCAGTGTGTTCGACCTACACATTTCATCAATCAATAGGCTTTTAAAGTTTGCATCAGACTGCTATGTAATGATTGTGCATAACATAAAAGGAAGATTTGGCACTGTTCAAGGATGTAACTTGTGCTAAACCGATGAAAAAACAAGCACCTCTTCTCCAAACATATAAATCTGGTGTAACAAGTTCTTATTGATATTATGACTTAAAGCGTTTAGTGTTACGTATCTGCACCCAGTTTAGCTTGGACTGAATAGACAGCCACACATGATGTACCAATATGGCTACTGAAACTGCAGGCAGATTTGATGATGTTTTTATATACGTAGAGAAGACTCATTTCATTCCAAAAACAAGCCATGAATGAATTCCAAATAAATCATCTTCATGAGAAGTAAGACACTGTGTCCAGTTTTACAACATTAAAATCTTTACTAAGGATTAGTAGGTAACAAGGCTTGAGCGCAGTCAAACTGAAATAAAATGAGTCAACTTCCAGGTGTGTTCATATGGAGAACCATTAGCAGAAAGATTTGATTTTCTTTCATGATCCTGTTCAAAAGTGAACTTAATTTATAACCTCTGTATTGTAAACAAGACTGTAGAAAGTAGAAAAACATAGGAGCTACATCTGCATCGTAGTGGAAGCACGGTGACCTTTAGTGTGACAGCCCCACAGACACACACAGACATGCTTCTTAATTATTCATTTAGCCACACATTTCCCACAATGGCCTATTTATAGAAGCCTTCACCAAATATCTCATGTGCTCACTCATTTTAAGGGGGCAAAGAACATGGCTGAGGTGTCTGCTCAGGTCCTCCATCGACTGTCAGAGGGGTGATAGAGAAAGGTTCTTGTGCATTGTTGGGCTTTCAGAGATGATGAAGGGTGATGGTCCTGACATGGTATTGTTTTCAGCGGAGGGTGTTAAGAAATATGTGAAAGCATAACAACCACCAGCTTTACTAACACAAAGCTGCATGTAGGATAAAAGTAACCATAAAGGACAGGAGATAATTAAGATATTGGTGTGTGCAGTATGATGCCCTGAAGCTCCCAGGTTTGAGAGGTTCGGGCAGCAGTAATAATGTTTTTATTGTAATAGTTCTTCTGTGTCAGGTTATTCTCATAACTTTTATTTATTGGTTTACTCATCCCTGTTTCCGTCTTCATTTCTTCAATCGTGAACATCCTGAAAACCGTGCTCCTTTTCTTTTGGTTAACAAAGTCACACAGGTTTAAAATCTGATGGAGAAGAATATCCATTACTGAATGGGCCAAGAAAAGGCCATTAAGGAAAGCATGAAGTCAGCTCCCTGTTGACAACATTTACGAGAGGCACTCACTAAAGGGTCATCAGAGCGGACTCTTTTCATCACTCAGACTAATTGGCATTTGTGGATCTGTAGCTTAAAGAAGAAAGAGAGGAACCTGCTCAATGCTGCTGATTGAATTTTCTGTGAAGGATTGCAGATGGTGATACAGTGGCTGTCAAAGCACAGAGGTGCAGTAGATAGTTTTATGTTAGGTTGCTGGTTTCTCTTGGAGCAAATAAACATCATATTCATTGCTACATTTTTGTGAGAAGTAACTTGTTAATGCCACAAAATAAATAAAACTTTGTAGTTTGAGATAGGATTGTCACAGTCACAAACAGACTGCTCAGGAGCCCTGTGTAGATTGAGGAGGTACTCTACAGCCTCAGGGACCTATTGCATCCTTGCCCTCTTTCTCTAGGCTCTTCTCTTGATGTAGGAGTCCACAGCAGTTATTATTTCAATATACTGGATCCTAACACTCCTGAGTCCCCATAATTGTTTGTCATTATCGGCCCCCTTTTATTGTGGCCAAGATCACTGGATGGCAAGTGTCCAGGAAATGGAGGCAGGCAGAGTTCAAGATAAACAGCGTTGGCTGTGCATCACTGACTGCATCAGATGCAACGGTTCAGGTGGTTCAATAAAACTAATCAAGCATGAATTTTAAGGGGTATTGACTTTTGTGGATTCGCAAGGGATGGCAGATTTGTGATCTGAGGTACACGAGGGGAAAGCTCAAGATTTAAGATCAGGAGCCAGTCTGGCAGGGCAATGACAGTCGGAGGGTAGAGCCAGGCTGTATTTTAACAGAGTGATTTATCAAACACTGCACATCCACTCGAGCTGGACACTTGCTTGTCATTTCAATGGCCACCTCTGTTGTTCCTGCTTTAAAGTTTCACCCATATAGTATGTCTTATTTAAAAGAAAGGGTCTGTGTTTTAGGTTTTCATATTGTAATCAGTGGTGCTTCAGGAGAAACTTTAAGTCTTTTTTCATGCTTAGTGCGCTTTGTTCTCACGTCCTTAGGTGTCCTCATATTTGGAAAATGCAAACTATTCTCCTGGCACTGGTTGTACGTGGCACTGGTTGTAAGTTCACATTGTTCTTCACTGTAGAAGGTTGCCTTCATCTTTTCTTGTTTGTCTCTTTCAGTTGCAGCGGCTGAAGCGCTCCCTGTCCTTCAAATCAGTCATGCGCAGCAAGAGTGTGGACAACTTTTTCCAACGCAGTAATGGTGAATCTCGTCTCCCATCAGCCCTTATAACCACTCCGCCACCCTTGCCATCTCCTTCCCCCTTTTCCGAGTCCCCCCTGGCCTACGAGCGCTCTCCTTCTCTATCCCCTTCTATAAGTCCCAACCCTTCACTGTCATCGCATTCACCATCTATCAGTCCCTCTCAGTGCATCCCCTCCAAAACCCAGCCAAAGTCTCAGGTCCAGCCAGTGCAGCCGCCCAAAACCCACTGTTTCCAGGAGCACGTCTTCCGTAGACCTACGAGCTGCCAGCGATGTAAACACATGATCCAAGGTAGGTCTGTTGTGCCACTTACTTGAAGAACATTCCATTTGTGGAAAGTATGCAGCTTTGCTGGACAAGTGTGAAGTTAACCAGAGGCAGCGATGTTATTTTCCTTCATATTGTTAGTGGATTTTTGATTACTTTCATCAGTCCCATGGAGGAAATAAATGTGTTCCAAGAGGTGAATGTCTGCCACAATGCATGATATATATGTATATGTATAGCCAAGTTTTCCCAGCAATTAAATACATTTTGTTTGTGGCTCTCAAAGGATTTATTACTTAGGATAATCAATGAGTTTCACTGTGGACATTTTACAGTGGGTCTAAATCTTCAGCTGGAAATTGTCCCAGTGAAAATTATTGAGTGCAGGCCAGGCTTGTTATTTATTTATTTATTTATTTATTTAAAAAATATGTTTTTGGGATGTTTGTGTTATCTCTGTACACGCCTCCTCTGGGAGTTATATCAGCTGTGCTCTTCATAAAGCAAAATCAATTCTGTCTTTCTTACTAGCTAATGTTAAATTAGCAGTTGCTCATTTTTATATGTGGCTGAGCTGGTCAAGAGTTTATTAATCAGTTTTATAACCAAACAATGTATTTACTGTAGAGAGACACATGAACAACAACAGTGTATTCTCTCTCCAGGCTGTTCTTTATACTGTAACTCTCTTTTACCTGCTTTAGTCAACTGACACTGAGACACTGCACTTCAAACTCTGTTGTATAGCTGGCTATAGAGTACACACCAGCTGGTTTCAGTTCTCTGGCTGCTCGTGGAACAGAATCAATTCAAGATAGCGACAGTTGTCTATAGGGCACACACCGTGACCTCTAAGAGCTTAATTACTGGCAAAACTATTGAGTCTGAGCAGCACAGTGATCAGTCACAGTTCAAGGCCAAGCCTTACTGTGATTTCATTATGGTGTCTTATACTGTAAATTCTTAGTGGGATTACATATTGAAATTAGGATAGTCACCAACGTGAATGTTTTAAACTGTCTCAGTTTATATAGACAGGCTATTTTTTTAATGACAGTGTGTTTACTATGTGTGAAGTCTATCTGTGGCAGTTGTTTTAGTATATTGTGACATTTGCTTAAGGAAGGAGCTGCACAAATATATTTAATATACTGAACTATAACTTACATTGTGACATACAGACCAGTTCATTGAAAACAGTTTGCATGCAGACCATGAAATTTAGGAGCGACGGTTTAATACTTGTTGTGTGATTCTTACATGTGAGGCACAGATGTAGTGCACTTACTGTTACTTTGCTATAACAAAGCAATCAACATTCAATTCAGTTGCACTCCCTTTCTGGAGAGTTAAACAAGTCTTTTACTGTAAATGTAGTTTTTGATACTGTAGACCTATGGTACAATTGCACATCTTATAATTCAAAGACACGAAGTCAAAGAATGTTGCTTGTGAATACTATTAATCAAAAACAGCCAAAAATGCAATGCAAGATGATTGTGTGTTAGAGTGAACTGTTTGGTGTCTATGCAGGGAACTCCAAGCAGGGGCTGCGTTGTAAAGCCTGTAAACTGGCAGCCCACCTCTGGTGCTCATCAGAGCTCTCCCAGCAGGCCTGTAATGGCAAGGTAAGAACACTTCATACTGGCTTACAATATCATTACATTTCACTACCAGTCAGTTGGCATAGCATTTAGTCCTGGTAATAAGCTTAGCCTCAAAGCTCCTGTCTTGTTAAAAGAGAATAAAGCCCTTTACAAGCCAGCAGAAACAAAAAGCTAGGGTTTATAAATGAAATGTGGACTGACCAGAGCCATGCAACTATAGATGCCATAAGAGGAACAAAAAGCTGAGGAGGATGAGTCTGATAAAGTGTCACTGGCCAGGACCCAACATTTTTTCACTCAGCCTTTTTGTCCTTTCTCCTGCAAGTGCTGCTTTTCTAACATAATGCCCTCCTCTCTTCCTCTTTCTTGTCTGGGTACTACATTTCCATTTCCTCCCCTCTCAACTCTGTTGGAAAATCAATATCTCCCTGTACCAGCTGGTCTAGCTAATTCAGTGTGAAATTTTGTGTTTTGGAGGCACACACAATCTCGATATGACCCAGCAGGCTTTCACCAGGCTGTCAGCAGTGTCTTTTTCGATTACTGCACACTCATCAGAGCAAGGATTGGGCATTTTACACAAACTGGATTGAGTGTGAAGCTACTTCTAGTATATCTATACACTGTAACTTAAGATCTGGGGTTCATTGACTTATAACTGAAATATGTCATCGAAAGCTTTTGTGTGCAAATATATTTCTTGTGAATTTTTACTCGGATTGTATTTAAAGTGCTGCTAATGCTCAGGTGTGATTTTTAGTTTTTGTTTTTTAGTTCAAACACATTTGAAACGGAAATAGTAAATGGGAAAAATTGGACGGTAGAGCTGGTTTAGGGTCATGCTGTTGCAGAAGTTGTTGGAAATCATCATGTTATCAATCTATTCTAGGTGACTGATGGTGAGTTCTTTTGCAAGAAGAAATGTCACTTTGAAATAAATCGAGGCCAGACAAAGTGCGGAGTATTTGTTAGCAGAGTCCTGTGAAGAGCAGATGCCACAGGCCATCTTAGTGAGACTGATCACAAATTTGTCAGTCCGGTTATATCTCTCACGGTTATGGAAAACACCTGAATATTTACTTTACAAGATTCTTTACAAATTCATTTCTACAGGAAATAATCAATCCAAACTGGAAGATTATTATTTTGACAACAAAAGACTCTAAGTGAATAATTTGACAAATTAATGAATAATTGCTCATGATAACTGCCCATAAAGTAGTTAAAATGAGCACTCAGCTGCAGCATTAAAATGTAGCTTACAGATAAATGGTACATAAGTAAATAAAGTAGTATTTAGTAGTAGTTATGTTGTAATTATGAATTAGTCAAGGATCTCTGAAATAATATTAGTCTATATTATTTTCCACTCTATATTCCAGGTGTGACTATAAGTATGTGAATGTGAGTATGAAGAAGAGAGGGGGCCTTTCAATGAACCTACTTCGAATAAATAAATCTTTAAAAATATTATATTCATTTGTTAAAAAAAATAGAACACAGTTCTTACAACAAAACACTGTTTCAATTAGAGCATAGACATGTAGTTGTTCCAGTGTAGAGGTGAAGTGTGGCTGCTGTGAGCGAGCAGATGAAGAAGTCATTCAGGGCAAGTTCTTGTCTGTCAGTCCTGAAAGCTACCTCAAAGCATTGTTTCACTTTTGGATGACTTCTGTATTTTTTTAGAAGGTCCACACTCACAAGACTTTCAACATCAGACACTTTTGATGAGAAGCGTACTAAATGTTCAAAAAATTCGAATGCTGCACTGATGTGAAGTATTTTCTTAAATTGATGACGGTGACCATTGATAGTTTTTCTGTAATGATGCACTAAAGGTAGTTGAACCACAGCATGGTAGAAAAATGAGTCAAGGAATAAAAACATTTGATGAGATGTTATTTTCATCACATATCACGTACAGATGAAAAGAAATCAAATAAAGCTGAGACAATCTAGTTTTCAAACAGTTTCTATTTACAGAACACAGAGCAGATTGATCACAGCCCCACTGTCAGAAACAGGACTCTGTAATGTTATTTGCTAAGCTGGTGAGTCATGTACTGTAGCTAAACATATTTCCCTTGCTAAATAAAGAAACACAATCAGATATCAATGCTTGTACAGTACCAGATCTGCACTGGTTAATCATAGAAATAGAACCTGTGCCTCAGTATGCAGACCACATGGACACAGCTGCTTGACTCCTACTCCATTAGGCACACTGTAGGCAACGTATGTCAAAGGGATCCATTTAGCCTCTATGCCGCTAATACGGTTTGCTATCCTTCACTTTACTTAAAGCACAAGTTGTATTGGAGCAAGAGGTGAGAGTAAGTCACACATGTGCAAGACTCAAGTCTTAACCTTCAAGTCTCAAGCAAGTCCCAAGTTACTGTAGTGAGAATCAAGCAAGTCGAGTCCCTGCTATAAGACAAGCAAGTCACAAGTCAAGTCCTACAACATTTTGATAATGTGATGGGAAAATCACATACTTAACTGAAACCTTCACAAACCTCCTCAGATTATTAATTATATGCATTTGTTGGCCATAACCTAACTCAAGATTAGGTTTTGGCTCCCTGACCGTTCTGCTTCAAGATTTTAGTTTTCTGTACCTGTGGAGTGAAGTCAGGTTGAGCACCTAATTGTCTTTCCTGCCCCTTTGTCCCTCTTTAGTTATATTAAACCAAATAAGAACTAGACCCCAGACCATGTCTGCATTTTGGGTCCTTTCTAGCCTGAAAACCCTAACACAGATATTGTCTTACAGCAAACATACTACATCAGTGTGTGAAATATGGGGGATTGAAGGGGTTTTGAGCCTTCTAATTAACACCAGCTCCCTGGTGTCAGTGGTAGTCGCAGTAGAGGGTTTTGAGCCTTCTAATTAACACCAGAACAGCTCCCTGGTGTCAGTGGTAGTCACAGTAGATGACTGTAAATTTCATTGTGGTTTCACAGTGGTTATATGTTTTTATTTTTTTGCCTCAAGTAACATGTCTCCTTCCCCTGTCCTGTCCTTCCCCCGTTCTTATCTTCTGTCAGACAGGAGCTTTCAAGAGAAACTTCAGTTCTCCTCTGCTAACCATCGATTCGCTGGGTGTGGTCAGAGAGGCTCCTGCTGCTCAGGGTGAGTGGCTGATTTATCACAGCACCAGCAACCTAAACCTCAGGATGACTAATCACCATGTCTGTGGCCTTCAGTCCTTGATGCCACTGTATGTGCGCAGGTGCATGTGTGTGTGTGTCGGTGTATTGTCAGCTATAAAATTGTCCTTTGCAGTGGTGCTCCAAGCTGTAGTAAGGTGCATCCTGTTTGCTTTAATTATCCTGGAGATGTGCCTAGACTTGACAGGAGTTCACCTAAGTGAATTATTTGAACATAGTTTAGAAAGGCACACACCTTTGTATATAAGGTCCCACAGTTCACACGCCATTTCACAACATAAACCAAGCCACAAGAAAACTCAAAGCTACCACTGCTGCTAAAGAGGCCTCTACAAAGTACTGAGTTACAGGTGCGAATACTTTTGTGATGAGAAAGTTCAGTTTTTGATTTTTATTGAATTTACAAAAGTATTTTCAAAATGATTTCACTTTGTCATGGATTACTGAGTGTTTATTGCTATGCAAAAATGTAAGTTTTATCTGTTTGAAATTAAACCTACAACAGTACAGTGTGCAACAGTTGAAAGAGTATGGATACTTTCTGAAGCAACTCGATGTTGCTCTATTCCGCCTTGTCCGGTGGTGTGTAGAGGCAGATAACTGCACTGTCGACCCTGTGTACGAGGCGCTTCGCTATGGGACGTCACTGGCTCAGATGAGTCGCTCAAGTTTTGGCAGCATCTCGGAGTCGCCCTGTCATGAAGTATGAAATAAAATGCACAGACAACCTCAGTCATTCATATAAATTCATGCTGACAATCATATGAAAAATACTGACTGTGCTGGTTGCAAATCTTCATTCTAGGCAGAAAAACTGCAGGACAAACTAGAAAACCAGCCTATAGCAGAAGAGGAAAACATCCCAGGAAGTAAGTCAGACCATTTTCCTTTGAATAATTGGCAGCTTTAATGATGAAAGTTGGCGAGCTTTAAACTCCACCATTAGATACTCTTTTGTTATTTGAAATCTTTTGTTTGTAGTAGTCACTATTTTTGGCCTATGCACTTTTTCTGGACCTACTTCATCTAATCCTGTTTCTATATTACTTTCCCAGGCATTGGTAGACAACCCAAAGTGAGGAGTGATCTACACTACTTTTATCCCTGTGAAAAGAGTGAAAGTCAAAAAAAGTTGGGGTTCTAGCTTAGAAACGAATTACACATTTACAGTCCTTTAATATTTCATTACTGGCAAAAACAGCGTGAGCATCTGTACATTGAAAGAAAACCTTCTGTCTGAAGTATGAATATGGAGATTTCTTTCCAGTGTGACATGTGTGTGGTAAAGCAAAGCTAAATGAAGGATAAGAGTTAAGAGGAAGGTTAAGAACTACATGAACATGAGATGCACTACACTGTAGAGGTTTGTTGTGTGTGTCTACTCGATACTTTTCCATTTCTGTCCCAGGAGAAGGATCATTTCTCTTTTGTACTGCTGCTGTTTTACAGTAAATGACCTTAGCTCCAGTCTTCCTCTCTAAAGTGACCTCTCCCTCTCTTTATCCTCTTTTCTTTTTGTTTTTCTCTTTAACCCCCCCTCCATTTATTTCTCATTTCTCTGTTGTACACATGACCTTTGTTTCTCTCAAACATACATTTCCCCCTTTCTTTTGCCTTTTTCCTCTCTCTGCCTTTGTGTTCATGTGTCTGCCTCTCCAGTGCTAACCCCTCCTGAAAGTGAGAAGGCCGATTCAGAAGACAGGGTCAGCCTGAAGGTGTGTAGTCGGCACCCCTCTTTCAGCTCAAACTCTTTTTCATTCAGATATCCACACAAGGAGATCTTTAAATCTCTCGATTTTTCTTTTGCCAGACTCCCAAACGAGCAGAGCTTCACTCCATCAACACCTATGTGGCCCTATACAAGTTCCTGCCTCAGGAGAAGGACGATTTGGAGCTACAGTCAGTCATTTTCTTTGTATAGTCTGTGTTTGTGTGCAAGAGAAATCAGGTGAGAGGAAGGAGTGTGTACCTGGCCACAGTTTTACTGACACTCGCATACCATCTGCCTCCTCAGCAGGATGATGACAGGGGGTTGCAGGGTTTGGGATGGGAGGGGGTGACAAAGACTTTTTGTATGCTAGTAGGTGCAGGAAACTGCTGACACCCACCACTCATCTGGAGGATATGTCTGTGCAAGGAGGCAGCGCACAAGGCATTTCTTCCGCATGGACAAAGCAGTCCAGTTTCCTCAAATTGTATACATACTATAAAACGTGACCAGAAAAGAAAAAGCAGTGCTAAAAACAGGTACTTAGTGACATCAATCATGCAGTAAGAATCCTCTAACTTATGAGATCTCTATTTTCTTGAAGAAAATGTATCCTGTTAACTTCTCAACCTTGTAGCGCAAGCAAAACCACAATCTAAACCATAACTTGATATAAATTTTTATTTAGCAAAATGCTGCTTTAACATTGTTTCTTTGACTGTTTTTCCTTCAGGCCTGGTGACAGAGTTCAAGTCACAGATGACTCAAACGAGGACTGGTGGAAGGTGGGCTATGAAATCAAAAATCCTTCTATTCAAATGGACTGAAGTATTGACTGCTCATTAAGCATTTTGTTGAAGAAACACATAGATTTGTACATATTATAGATTAAATACCAGAGGAAAGTAGCAGAATATACTAAATAAAAAAATGTACATGTACCATAAGCAAACTAAGGCTCATTACAATAAAATTTACACCGAGTCTTGTGTGCTTGCTGAAGTCTGAGTTAAAACTTGAGAGAGAAAAACAAAGGCCATAATGTTCTTCCCCAGCAGTATGGACAGTTTATTTGAGGAATATTTTACATTTGTACTGTTGAAAGGTTTATGGAGAGACAGTAGCCTACAATAATTAATCCAAAATGCATGTATTTTAATATAAAATGACAACTACACTACAATTACACAAAGAATACTTTTGTTGTAGTATGAAAAATAATTGTGATTTTCAACCTTGCAAAACAAAATCTGATGTTCTGTGGTTCAAAACTGATGCTGCTCATTAGGGAACAGAAACCCGTATTTTCATTTTCTTGCTAATTGTGATGGTTCATTCAATTTCTTTTTTGTTAGTGGTATATAAATATGTACAGTATATTTAGGCAACTGGTCAAGTAAACAAAAGTGAGAAACAAGCTAATTGCATATGCTCAGGCAAGGACTGTGGTGGAATCTGCTTGTGTGGGGTTTGTTTGTGTTGAGCCAGAAACATGCAGAAATACAAGGTGGCAGTTGTGGTTTATTCCATAGAGGATAAATGTTACTTAAACTGAGAAATCAGCATCACAGGCTTTTGTACTACAGTTCAAAGTATTCAGTCACCTCAGAACAGGATAGAAAGCATTTATAGCTGTCAGAGGATAACAGTGTGTTTGGGTATGTTTACCAGGGGAAAAGCAGAGACAAGGTAGGATTTTTCCCGGCCAACTTTGTGCAACGAATTCGCGCCGGTGAGCGGGTGTGGAAGGTCACCACCGGTTCCCACGGCAACCGAGACAAAGGCCAGATGACTGTGAAAGAGGCCCAGGTGAACATGTGTAAAATACATTTTTCTCTTTCTCTTACATAAAAGGAATACATTTCAAAATGTATGCAAATGAATGCAGAAAACCACTAATTGCAGCATGTTATGGTTTCCATTACAACTCACTTTTAGCCTCAGTCCACAAGCTCTCACATTACTCCGTGCTGCTTGCCCCTCCACCTGCTCCACACTCCTCTCTTCTCTCCCTCCCTTCCCCTTGACCCCCTCTCTGCAGATCTGTGTGGGGAAGAATGAGGAGATTGATGGTTTCCTTCGACTGAGCAGTGGGAAGAAGAGAGGCTTGGTCCCTGTGAAGTACCTGCTAGAAATATGATGGTAGTGCACTTTGCTTTGACTCTCAGTTTGATAAAGTTCACTTTGATGGAGGAATACTCAGGAGTGTTTACCCAACACCTCACTGACCGCCAGCTACACACCACCACCTCTCCAAAAAGTGGCCGAAAATTTAAGTAGAGGACAACCCACAACTTTGCTTTATACTGCAGAAGACTGAAGGTTAACATTTAATGGAGTTGGGACTTTTTCTTTTGGGCTACTTTTCTGGTAGCAGAACTTTGCTTTTTGTGTTTTATGCATACAACAGAAATGTAGCATCATATTGGAAAGGATAGTGTGCAGGAAGTCTGGCTACCTCATAGCCATCTCCATTGGCCATCAGTCTGTGAAAAAGGAGATTACTAGCGACTACTTTATTATGATGTCAAGGCTGTCCAACCTAAAGGACTCTGTGAGCAAACTGTTTTCAATACATTGTATGTGGAGAGAGAACACGATTATGAAAGACTGTAGCTGTTTATTGTAGTGGCTTATGCAAGCACTTTTTGGTTGGGTTTTTTGTCTGAGGCAGATTTGGTTTAGTAGATTGTACTGTATGCGCAGACTGCAGCTCATATGCATGTGTCTGCTAGATATAATGGATAGATGATGTGCACGTATCACCCCTGATCTGATAGGAAAATGATAAAATGATTCAGGTATTACATTATGTAAAAAAAAAAAAAAAAAAAAGGCTACATTTTGGTCAAATAAGTCATAACACACAAACAGACATTCTGGGGTTTCTGGCTGTCTTACTCTCCTCCAGCGATTAGATTACAGCACATTTTTCTCTTCACAGCTTCGATGTGACAAATGCTTTGCATGCACCTCGGGGAGCTTTTTTTCTCAGTATGCCCTTCAATCACACTCTGTCTAAACACGAACATACACAGATTTTATAGCTCACCCTGTTCCATGTAACTCTAAAACTAACCACTAGTCTGTTTCTTCTCATAATATTCTCAGCATTGTTTGGCTCTGTGTTAGTGTCTAATAATATTTGCTGTCATACCTGGTTGTGTACTACAACATGAGGATGATGTGCTGTCTTGAAATTTTGATGTAATGGACTTGATTTTCTTCCACTGTAGAGCAGAGAAAAGAAATACTCTACAGAATACAAAATCTAACCGTATTGTTAAAAGTGGCAAAGACTGTCAAACCTTCAGTCTTTCAGAAGATCATGCACCTGTAAAAATGTGTTGACTGCTTGATGAATGGCTGTTTCTCCCCCACATATGATTACTTTAAGTAACTCAGATGGACTGTTATTGTTGAGATAGTTAAAGGTGACAAAAGGCAAAATCACTGCTCACCATTTGAGGTATTCTGTCATTGTAACCCATAAGGCAATGACAAACTACCTTTGTTGTGGCAATAACTGTAAATAAAAATGACCATATTTGTATATAGCCTTATACAGCTGTTGTGTATATATTGGCTCTGAATAGCACTTTGACCAAAAGGTTTGTAGCTATCAAGGAGCCAACTAAGGGCATTAACTTCATAACTATAAATTACAGGAGATTGTCATTTATTGTCCCACTTGGCAACATATGCATCTCTTTGCTTAACTAACATATAACCCTGTCAGCACAAATATTTTCAAATACTATGCACAACAGTTCTAGTCACTGACTATACTTTGTACTCAGCTTAATTCCAGCATAGCCACACGTGTCACTGTCATATACCTGTGCTTTTGCAAAGAATTAAATTTGGTCTCCAACTTCGGGAGTATGCCAGATTTTCAGTATCCATCTTTGATCAGTCTGCACCATACTATACACATTACCTTCACTGACTAGAACCAAGACTGGCTCAGGATCAGTTTTACCCAGGTGAATTCCCTGTCTCACCTTAATACACACTACCAGGCTAGTTCTCTGCATGGCTAGCTACCCTGTGATCCTCAAATCTCTCAATAAATTCACGACTGTCAAATTGTGTGGTGTTTTACTTGAGACATTATTTATACTTTGTTCCTTCATTGTTTTTTCTGGCAAGAGTAATAAAGAGGGTGATGTCAAGATTTGGTTTGAGAAGAGCTTTTGGTGTCACACTTAACGGCAACTGCACCATTAATTCACTGAGTGTTTTAAATCTGCATTAACAAATGTTTGTTTTTACCAAAGGCAAATAAGAATGCCTTTCTCCCCTTTAAGGTCCACTCGGATTATCAGCTATGAAGAATTGCACTGAGCCAAATGCTAGCATGCTAACATGTTCACAATGGCAGCTAACATGCAGGTAATGTTCATAGCATGTTGCCATGCTAATGGGCTAATTAGCACAAAACACAAAACTTGAGGCTGGTTTATTTAGGAATGCCAAAGTGAGCTGCCAACGTTTCCTTGGGGGAAATTAATGTGTGTGTCAAATGTAATAGCAGTACTTGGCAATTGTTGAGGTATTTGCTGTGCTCAAAGTAATAAACTGATAGACAGTAAGACATTTAGGCTTTATGGACTAGCATGAGTAAAAATTCCATGGAAAAACATGAAATTGTCCTTTTTTCATCCACCTACATTTGCCTTGCAATGGACTAAAGTAAACATTTAAAGCTGAAGGTTTGCACTTAAACCTCATATTCATTGTGTAATTTCACACCTAAGCTTTTGAATCCAAGCAGGAAACATCTTCCTTCACAGCCACAGTATGGATCTTTCATTTCAGTTGACAGTGCAGAGCCTGAGAAGACTATTTGTTGTTAATGACCATAAATAATATGATTAACTCCCAATAAAGATTAATTAGCAATGGAGCTGCTGGCATACCACAGACTAAGCTGGCAAAGAAAGTGTGTCTGTGTGTACTGTATGTTGTGTGTCCCTGCTGTGGTGCAAGGAACATTTCTCAAATCATGAACCAGTTCTGTTATCAAATTGGATCAAATGTGATTTTCATCTTTGTAGAAACAGAGAGAGAAATGTGTGCAACTGGCAGTACATCAAGCTACTTGTACATTTTATAAAATTGCTGACTTTGTTGCTCAAGATGGCATTGAACTCTCCATTTACTGTACCACTGAGCTCTTTCTCTCTTCAATGAATGTGAGCAGTGGAAGCTGAAATGATCTTTCAGTGACTCAAATAACCATAACAGGTAGAAAATGTAATGCTGAGTTACTGCCATGGGCAGCACAGCGGTGCAGTGTTTAGCACTATCGCCTCACAGCAAGACGGTTACGGGTTCGACCCCTGGCCAATCTGATGCCTTTCTGTTCGGAGTTTGCATGTTTTCTCTGTGTCTGTGTGGGTTCTCTGCAGGTACTCCAGCTTCCTCCCACAGTCCAAAGACATGCAGTATAGGTTGACTGGTGACTGTAAATTGCATGTAGGAGTGAGTGTGTGTGTGAGGTTGTCTGTCTCTAAGCATCAGCCCTGTGATAGACTGATGACCTGTCCAGGGTGGACCCCTTCCCTCACCCAATGTCACCTAAGATTGGCTCCAGACCCCCTGTGACCCCATTCAGGAATAAGCAGCATAGATAGAGTTTCTGCCTCTCCCTTAGCTAATTATTCATCATGACAAGACACTAAAGTCTTTGGTTTAGGGCAACAAATCCTAGACAAGAGTATAAAGGAGACTGGTACTTAGCCTGCACCAAGAAACTAAATAAAAACCCCCATTAAATGTGAGATTTATTACACAATAATTTCATGTCCTATTCACACTGACTTTGTTGCTTCTTTAAAAACTGAGCAGCAGTGGCTGGACAGATGCACAGTAGGGGTGATGATTGCAATGGGCCATTAACAGACAGCAAGAATATAGCAACAATGCAAATTCTGGAAGAAAATCCCTGCTCAAAATAACACTTGATTATATAGGCAGACAGAAACAGAGAAAAGCACTGTCAGAGGAAAACAAAACATTCTAGTGCTTGACAGACTAAAAGGACCCCTCTCTTCCTACTGTCTGTTTTATCCAGTGTACTTAAAAGCACACGTCACACCTAGTGGAAGCAGTTCAGTCAGTCAGTACACACACCACAGCTTTTTATGTAACGATAAGTATTAAGAATTGATATTTGGTTTTTAGGTTTTGGCATCTCATGCACAAAGCTTAGCAAAATACAGACATGGGAGTGACATTAATAAACTTCCCTCATGGGGGATGTAGAGCTTACAGGAGCATTCAGGGGTTGGAGATTGGGTTTATGAAATGCTGTATGAGCAGCAGTGCTTGCAAATTATTAGTGCAGCAGCAGCAAAAAAAAAAAAAAAAAAAAGAAGCAGAGCTCACACACCTTAAAATTACCTTACTACAAAGGGCACTTTGGATATATGTTGCAAGTAGTAGAGTATGTCATGTGAAACAAATCATTATAGGCATCGTTCCATATACAGCACTTTAGGATCAATGAAACTCGAATCAGTACATGCACTAAACTTAATTTTTTCACTGAAATTTGAAAGGCTTTGGAGCTATTATTATTTGATCAGACTCCTTTTGGTTGACTCCTGAAAACACTGGGACTATCAACACCTCATGCTCCAGCTATAACATTTTCTGCCCACACCTGAATTCTAGATTTTTTTAAAAACTGAGCTTTTCTTTTCCTCCTCCTCCTCCCCATTTTATGCTATATCCTCAGGTTTCAGTCATGTTTACAATCATCAAGACCCCTGGCCAACTGAACCATTAAAATTGAAGAAGGTACAAGGAGGCGGCATATTTAATGCATGGTCTCATCTCCTGCTTCTGAGGCTACCTCTGCTTTTCCAGGATGTTGCTTGCACAAACACACTGTCAGTAACAGGAATGAGCGCCACATGGCACAGTACAGGATGCAAGTCTGAATAGTGAAAAGTCAGCCCTTATACTCTAAGCTGACCTCAGAGGTTCAACAAAACAGAACAAACAGACTCCCAGGGTGACACATGAAGGCTGTTTTTGAAGCATGCTACGCTGGGAATGGTAGGAGTGCCATATGCTTCTTTGCTTCTGTAGAAGAATTTTAGAGGAGGCCCTGGTGATTTACCATTGCTGTTTAACAATATGTTACCATTTATTTATGCTTTATAGTTAAGGCAAACGTGTCAAATAAAATGTTCACACATTATTCTCATACTTGAAAAATTGCTTATAAGTGATTTTTATATTTTAGGTTTGTGAAGAGTGTTTTGTGGCTGTCTTCCTTTTTCTTCTCTGTGTTACTTTATGTATGTGGATGTTAGATGTTTTGTCATGATTTATTCTTTTAATAACCCAGATGCAAACTAAAGACAAGGAGATAGTGGTTAGGAGCAACTGGGCTACAGGATACCAGAGGCATCACCAGCAATGGACCTGGGTGGCACTGGCCCACCCAGGCAAGCTAGAGACTGAGATTTGCATGTTCAACTAATACTTCCTGCACCTCCCAGGCAGTTGCTTAACAGTTACAGCACATCAACCTAATTAATTACCTTAAGTACCTCAGTCGTGATGTCTAATCTTAACATTGTTCTCAGCCTACTGTTAGTAGAGTCATCGTTTCAATCAATCAAAATTTATTTATAAAGCACTTTAAAAGCAACGTCTGGTCGACCAAAGTACTTTACAAGGGCAATGTAAAAACCAGAATAAATAATATCAATAGAAAAATAAAACAACATAAACATAAAGGAACATAAAGACACGAACTACACCGAATCAATAGTTAAAAGAAGGAAGCATCAGACAATACTATGTATTAAAAGCCAAAGTGAATAAATATGTTTTAACCAATGATTTAAAAGTAGTCAAGTCTGTAGATGATCGAACATGAAAAGGTAAACCATCCCACAATTTAGTAGCTGCAACAATAAAAGCATGGTCATGCCAGTGTTTATATCTGGCCCTGGGAACCTCTACAAGCAACTAGCTTAATCCATCCATCCATTTTCCAAACCGCTTAGTCCCAAACGGGGTCACGGGGCAAGTAGCTTAAGGATCTGAGTAATTTAGTCTGTTCGCGCCACCTCACCAACTCAGTGAGGTGGGGCAGTGCCAAACCATTAAGAGCCTTAAAAACAAAAATCAATAGGTTAAAATGAATTCCAAAACGGACTGGAAGCCAGTGGAGAGAGGCCAGTACCAGGGGTTATATGGTCAAATTTCCTAGTTTCATGTACAAAATCTAAATTTCTGTTTCAATCAGGCTGCATTGTAGGCTATAGTTAATGCAACAGAAATTAGGGAGTGTATGCTCTCTTAATTCAAACAGTGCTTGACTGGAGCACATAAGAAAGTATATTAACAGGTAACAAGAACATTTATGATAAAAAACGATGCTCCAAAGCTTTATGTGGTTCCAGTTACTGCCACTGTGATACCTTTCTCATATGTACATCAAGTATCACATAAAAATACACAGTCCAGTCTGCAAAATGTGATATGACCTCTAACTGGACGCCTAAGTGCCCAGTGTGTACAGTACATGTCATCCTACACCAAGGCTGATACAGCAAGAAAAACCATTTAACTCATATTGTGGAAGATAAGTACAGTAATAAAAACCCTGCGGTAGTTTGTTTTTTAGAGGCCTCTTTCTAGCTAACAGACAAAACTTAAAAGCTAATCCTTCATTGCCTGAGAATGGTTCAATCAATTTGGTTTCCTATTTGTAGTGGTTATTACTACCTAACCCCATTTCAGTTTTACAATATTTATGCAAGGGAATAAATCATATGCCAATCAAACCTGGTTACTGAGGTGGTCACCTCATGATCCTATTTCATGAGTGACCTTGTAACCAGGCCATACTGTAATGTTGCACTTGTTTGAGGTATAGGACACTCCAGTGGTGGGCTGTGCATTTGGTACCTGGAAACCATCAATACTATACAAAAACGCAATATAATTATCGTGGGATTACAGAGAGAGAGAGGTATTTCGCATATTGAGGGTGAATACCATTTTTACTAAAGCAAGAAACCCAATTAAGACAACTCCAAAACCTCTACACTACAACCGCAAGTGTACAGTACATCATCTGGAGCAGTTCAGAATCAATATTTATCTAATAATATGACAAAAACATACAAAATTTAAATTAAATACATCACACTCACTAGAGATGCTATTTATTTATAGACATAATCCATCCTCATAGAGGTGATATCTGCGTTTCAGTTCCATTAGTAAGTCCTTTTCTAATTTTGCTCTGGCCAACCAATCAGAGGACGGAAAAATTCTGACGTCATTGTAGGCCAGGTAGCTGGCCCTGTGAGGCGAATTTGAAATCTGATTGGTTAAAGAAACAGTCCCATTGCTAATACAGTTACATGGGCCAGCACTTCTGATTCTGAAGGCCCTGGGCAGATTAGATTGACATGGCAACACATAGAGGCTGAAATCTGATTGGACAAAAAAAATCTAACATCCACATACACGTACTGGAAGCGGTGCAGCCGAGACAAACGCTACGAAATGAAGAGAACAGACTGTTGGGGATAAATTAGTACAATTTCATTGAACAAATATTTAGGTTGTAAATGTAGGTCAGTGCTTCTAATAGTGTTTAGGCCAGCAGAGAAGGCCTTGCTGGCCCTGACTGCCCACCACTGGGACAATCACACCTCAAGATCACGTGTTTTAGTGCTGAGCATGTAGAAAAGACTGGATGAGCCTGAAGCAGTGCACTGTAATAAAATGCTGTTGATTATACAGTGAAGTACTATATTATCAACATTAAAATAGATTCAGGTGTGTAACAGTAGCACACTGTAAATTACAGGGCATTCTGGGAAAATATTCATGCACTGGGACATAATTACTGTAGCTTAGAATGTTATTGTAAAATATTGCTCCAGACACAGTAATCCTGCACATTACTGCTTTTTTGCAAACCTATGGGCAATTCACAATTCACTAAAAGATGAGCTGCTGTGAAGGCAAACATCCAGCTCACTCTTCAAAACAGAAATGACTTTTGGAAGAATTTGACCAGGTGGATTTGGAGAACATCAAAACATTATAGGTAAGTACTGTATGTTGTATTGTTTCACTGCATTATGCAGAGTTGCCAGAATGGCCTTTTGAAGCCCTGTTCCTCCACCTCTTTCCTCCTGTTGACCTTGAAATCAAGTCAAGTACAAATTTTTAACACTGTTTTATTTATTTTGTGAACCCTGTGTAACTTAGAATTAATTGATATTATTATTACTGCAATCAGCTAAGCTTATTTTACTTTCTTAAGCTAAGCTTCTAGAGACAGGACTTGATTTCAAGAGCTTGGCAACCCTGTTCACAGGTGTGGCAAATTAGCTTTGTTCACTTGATGGTGCACATCTCACTGGCAGTGCTGCTTCATCCCAGCTCATATTCTTCACCTTATCTAATACTATTAAGGATCATGCTTCAGGAACTAGGAGTGCCTCCTGATAATGAAGAACTACATTAACTGAGATACAAAATGGCTTTGCTGCACATAGTTTGTTTTCTCCTTCAGTAAGCCTTATGACATCTCTCTGTAGATTGTACTTATATAAATAAATGTCCAATGTGCATAAAGCTGCTGTGCATCAAAATTAAATTGGGACGTTGAGGTAAGCAAATCCATTATGCTGCGTAAGCCGTTATTCCAGCTTCTCAAAGCCCCTTAAAGCTTGGGTGTGGTGTTGTTCATGCATGATGGTAAGTGATCTACAAATAGCAGCTGCTATTAAACAGGAAGACAACCACCATTGAGCAGGAAGTCGACTCTTCGGGGCAAGTTGTGGGAGAAAACTATGGAGGTTCAACTTTGAGTTTTTAGTTCCAGTGTATAAGAGGTCATCTTAAATACATATATTTCTAGAACATGGATTATAGTATGTCAATATATGTAACCATATGCCATCAGATTTTTAAGCAAAAAGTCATTTAAATTCAAGTCACTAAAGCACCAGTGTTTTTCACATATTATCTCAATTATTGTATAGTCTGTATGATTAGATCTTAATTCTTTTTCTGATATCCAAACACACATAAATCAGTCTGTTTGCACCATTTAGCAATGGATGCATCAGCCAACACTTCAGTCACACCTTCTCCAGGGAGCATGAGAAAAAGGAATCCTTCAAGGCCTGAGCAAGAAGTGAAAATGACTTGACTGGAACGTCAGCAGCACAGGTTTAATGTGGCTGGTGTGACTTAGTCATTTAAGCTGCCGTGGTTTTGTTCCTTCAGAAAAAAAATGACAAAAATTATCTAAATGTATTAAAAGCTAAATCATTTCAAAATAAAAGTTCATTTATTGAGATCATTTGTATGTCAGCGTGGGAGAATCAGCAACAGACAAGAAGACAATTGTCCACACTAAAAAGTAAAAAATATGCACAAATTTCAGCTGTCATTACAAACTTAATTCAAAGTGACTGATACTTGGCCTAATGCTTTCTCACCCAGTTAGGTGGACAAATAATTCACAGATGATCACTGACACACAAAGACTAGCAAACACACAATAGACACACAACTGAAAACACATTAGGAGAGGAAAAACTGGAAGCAGTGCCAGGTATAAATAGCAACTCTGCTATAAAGATCAATCACTATTAACTGTTAGGTTGTGTAGTATCCTTCACACTATTTTACCTTGAAATTGCCCATCTTTCAGTCTGACAGCAGTCTGCTGATGTGGTTATAGAACAAAAGTGCTCAGGACACTCATCAAGCCCCTAGGATGAGCATCAAACTAGACTGAGTATTAAATTGGATATATTTTAGTATTTTAAACATCTGGAGGACTTTAAATAAATGTTGATGTCTGATGTTATGGTAAAATTTGGTACTCTGCTGCCACCTGTTGGACTGTTGTGAATACAAACCCAAACTCTTCTCTCAAACTCATTTTGTTCAGGAATAAATTATGACAAAGAAATGGTCTCAATTAAGTCACATCTTTAAAAAAGCTTTCTGACAAAAGCTGTCTAAGAGAAGTTACTGCTTTGAAATGAGATCACTACAGAACAGGACAGACAACCCAAACAGTGCTCCTCTATTTGTACCTTGCATCCCTTCACATTACAGCAATTTATTTTTAACATCAAGACTACAGCTGAGATTAGGCAGACAATCACCAAACAATGACAGTCTTTTATTCAATTTTATTAACGACCAAAAGAGTAATCATAAAACGAAATTTGTTTGGATTCACTTCTTTGCGGTTTCCTCCTCTTTTGACAAATTCTTGATGATCTCTTCTTTTTTGGCCTGGAGACGTTCTTCTCTGCGTTTGCGGGCTTCCTTTGTCTTTGAGCGGCGCGCTTCAGCCTGGTCACTGGAAAGGAGGTGGGGGACAGAAGTAAATGCATTTTATAGTATCACAATGAACATCACACAGACCTGAACAGAAAAGACCCAAAGCTTATTACGCTACGGCAGAACATTAAATAAAATGAATTAAACCCTACAAAAAAAAAAAAAACAAACAAAAAATCTCAATGAAAAAGAGCAACTTACGCTAGAAGCTTTTTGCGAGCCTTATCTGCCTTCAGTTTGTGGATGTGCTCCATAAGGATACGTTTGTTTTTGAAGACATTACCCTTGGCCTTCAGGTAGAGGCTATGGTACCTGCAGAAAACCAAAATTACCTCAGAACATTTCTAGGCTAGGAGCCTTGTCCTTGAAATTGTAATTAAAACCACCACACTTGCTAATGTAAATCTCGGCAATGAGCACTGTGATTCACTTACATGTGCCTGTCAATTTTCTTGGACTCCCTGTAGCGCCGAAGAAGACGACGCAGGATTCTCATGCGCCGCAGCCAAGCCGTCTTATCTGGCATACGAGCATTAGCTGTACCCTTTCTCTTACCTAGGCAGGAGAAAAATAGTTATAAAAACAGTAAAAATAATTACATCAGTAAATTAGATTGAAACTGGCATATTGCTACCATTTTTTACATAAATTGTTTTTCTATAACTACTAAATCATTTTTAATAAGAGGATCAGTACAGAATGTGTTAAAGTAAATTTAAAGAAAAAGAAAAGGACTAGTTTGCAGTCATTTACCCACCATAACCCATGTGACGTCCCTTGCGGCGTGCCAGCGTGTTCTTGCGGCAGCGAGCGCGAGAATGTACCGTCACAGGTTTTCTGATGATCAATCCATCCTTCACCAGTTTTCGGATCTGCTGGCCTGGTGCACATAATTCAATATAGACTCTTAGACAGAAGTCCCGCTGGTTAAGGGGCCCCAGATCACATAAAACTAGAGAGAGAGAGCACTGACATATGCAAAGTATACAACTCACGAGAGTTTGCATTGGCGATCTCATTGGTCTCGTTGGGGTCCAGCCACACTTTCTTCTTCCCACAGCGCAAGACGCTGGACGCCAAGCGCTTTTGGAGCCTGAGCATGCTGGAAAAACAAAGCAACCATATTAGTTTTGCAGGATGTGTATTACGGCAAGTATTAGTTTGTCATGTCATCTGACACTCCTTGAATTAACCACACAACTCAGCACTGAAGTATATATGCAGAAACAATCAATCCACCACGCACAGTTTACTAGCAAATATTTAGTTGGCACTCCTTAAAACCTAGAATACAACTGAAAAAATACAGTTAAATACATATAACAAATGATTCAAACAATACCAAAGTATACAATACTCAAGTCCTAATTAAAAGTACATTAGTAGCACAATAACACTTTATTGCTGGATTAGCATAAACTGTGGGTAACGTTATAGGAGTCATTACTTTGATTCACATGTACAGTATTTTACTTTGCAACACATTGTGAGCGACAGCCCCAAATGCAGCTAACTACAGTCTCGCCTTTAACAGGGAGTTAGTTTTACAAAAACAAATTGAAGTGCCTGACAAGGTAATAGCCTTTAGCCTGCTGTTGAGTGTGGGTACCGACTAAACTCGTTCACTCGTCCTATTCACACCATGCTAAAAGACTGCGCTATTGCAGGCTAACTTGCCGCTATGGATCTGTTGTGCTCAGGAATATGCTGTGACATGTCTTCGCTTGCTATGTTAGTAGCTACACCAATGTAACTTAGGTCTACGTGTATTCTGATAGAAACAGGCGACCACTCCAGACAGCATGCCTCGTACAGAGAGCATGCCTCTTTCTTTTTGTCTTAAATAACAAAAACATCACTATAAATCGTTTTCTCATAATAAAACCACATTTAAATATCAAACGTATGGATTACCTCATGGCTGCTGCTAGCTTGATAAAAACGAAGGAAACAGAGTGCCTCAGCCCCTACCATTATAGCCACCGCAATGGGTGACTCATTTGTGGTAGTGTCACAAATTCGAGATCGACTAAGTCGTGACAGCAAATACTCAAAAGTAATTTAAATGATGAATATATTTATGTCTTGAGTATGCGTTGCTGTGTTTTAAAAGTCAAACCTAGAATGCTGATCGCTTCCCCCACATGATTGCACAGTGGTATGCACCAATAAAATGTATTGTGAATATCTGACCGCTGGAGGGCGCGCTACATTCACATTTGAATGACTGATTTTCTATATCATTTGTTCTTTGTGTAAATGCCATTTTCATTATATTGCTAGGTTTTATATGATCATTTAATTGTTTGTTTTTGTGTGTTTTGTCCAGAAACGTTCGAATCCAGCTGTTTTAGACAGAGCCATTATTCCATTGTCGCAATCATGATCGAGGAGGTGGTTGTAGTGAAAGAGTGACAGTGCTGCCCTCTCCTGGATACCGGATGAATGACACCGTGGGCAGGTCTGCTGTATCAGAACAGTGCTCCAGTCAGACATCTCCGGCAGAGCTGTGCCGTTCATTTTTCTGAGGAGACTGTGGCTGGCTCGTGTGCGAACACTCAGAGGCATTAAATGAGCACTCAATGACTCGTTGCAGTTTTGTCGACGAGTCTATTTTTGAGCTATGAGTCAGCTTAACACAGGTAAGTGAGATTTCGTTCTCGCGAGCGAGTAGTGCTAGCTACATGATCATCGCCGGCGCGTGTGCTGTTATCTGCATGGTAGCATTAGCTTCACCCGGTCGTTGGCATCTTTGTGATGGGTACAAGCTAAAACAGCGACTATGATTTTACTGGTATAGCCAGTCTTTACACTGACATTGAGCCCAAGAGGAACCTTGACAGTATTGGGTTCGTACTTCTAGGTTAGCCTTGGATTGCTTGTCCGCTAGTTACATAAACTAAATTATTCCAACGTTAACCACTTGCTCAATAACCCATCTAACGCTAGGCTAGAAGGACCATTCTCGGTAACCACGAATTCCTCGAAGCCTTACGTCGGATTCTTGCCTCGTGTTTGGTGGCTTGCTGTTCAGTGAACCCATATGAATGAACCAGACGCAGTGAGAGAAAGTACTTAGCGCTACAGGGTTTAACCTGACACAAATGAGAAAGTGAAGTCGTTTAACGGGGTACTATAAGGGTATGGCTTAGGGTTTTAGCTAAACACAACGGCGCTGCCGTATAGCCGAGATGGAAATCACGCTCCCGCACAACAGGGGTTTGTACCATTGTTGTCTGCATTGCCGGTTGTCAGCTCACCCCGTCTGTCGACAAAACGACTCTTCCTGTTTGACCTGCTTTGACCAGGAGACAGATTGCGGTGTGTAAGGCGGATTAGCCTGTCTTAGGTTAGTCCTGTACAGTGTGAACACGCTGTTTTTGTCATCTTAAAGATAAATCAAATGTGTTTTGTTGTACCCGGTACTTTTTACCATAACGACTCTGAGAGACGAGACAGTCCAAGTAACTTCAAAACAGTGCTGATTTATTCAAAGGATCACAGGTAAAATTAACATTACACGCTCAGGTATCTTGCACCTCCAAACTGCACGCAGGCAGATGTAAGATGAAAGACCCTGAACCCACCAGGCCTATACATTATATCCCCTCGGTTGGGCTAGCCCCATACTACACAGAAACGTCAACCGAGACGTCTCTGTTGCCAGCTTTGCAGCTGGTCATAGCAGTAGTCAAAACATGAAGTAAATCAATGTGTGTGTGTGTGTGTAACTAAAAACATTCTCACACGACCTCTAGTGACATGTCATGACATTAAACATAAGAACATATTATGGCTAAGGCTACAGTTATACACGTCATAATAATAATATTAAACACCCTGTCTGCTGACAGTCATCAACTCTTCTCTCTAGTTATCCTTGACCAGATGTACCCTGTAGAAACTCATAAGCAGGCCTAAGCATTTAACAGTCTAACTAGACATCCTATCTCCACTAAACATTTCTAATACATAAAGTATCTATCTAATTTCTATCTGACTAAAAATACCTAACAGTTTGAAAGGGAGCTCGGCTGTCTACCCTCATGCTAGCGTTAAAATTTCATAGTGGCATGTTTCCAGTAGACTATAATTTGATAATTAACCGATTGGGGCAATGCCACATTTGTTATATTCTCTTCGCACGATCCTTTTGCAAAAAAAAAATCTTTTGATCTTAAAGTAATAAGGTGTTAAATATTGCTTGCAAGTACACTAGAAGTTATACACACCCTTGGCTTGTCAGTCATGCTCCATGTGGTCTATTTGAAATATGAACCTAGTAAAAAGTTGATTAAATATTGTCAGGTAGATAATACACTTGCTTAGTATATGAAAACCTGCAGATTACCTGGAGTGATGGCTGTATTAAACTTAGTTCAAGTCTAACCTTGACCTATCCCTGTGTCTTGCCAGCTTGCCAGCTAGTGATGTGATCTGGAGGGAGAGCAAAGGACAACAGAGAACATGGAGCTGTCAGACAGTCTGTTGCTGCAAGTCAACAATGGAGAGCAGTGGTGTAACCGCTGGAAACATCCCAGTGATGACTCTGTAAGACACAGACACACATCAACAATTGATCCTCATTGATTATTGATAATGTCTAATCATAAGATTTTAATCTAATCTTAGTGCACTGTTCTTCCACAGTTCAGGTGATTTTAGGTGATTTGTTATGGTGTTATAATAATTTTATTGTGTGTGTGGTTGTGTATAAAGGATCGCAGCACTAGCCCCTCTGTCCTACGCTGTGTTGCCAGCACGTGGAAGGAAGGTCTGCTGAACAGAAAGAGGCCCTTCGTGGGCCGCTGCTGTCACTCTTGTACACCACAGAGCTGGGTAAAGTTACACCACTAATTAACTCTAACATGAATTCATTTGCTAGACTCTAGTCAGATTCTGTTTCTTATTTGTTCCAATGTGATTGTATATAATTAGGAAGAAGATCCAGAAGGATCAAAATGTGTTGCCGCAGCCCAGACACTGGGCTTTTAACTTATTCAGCCTATTTCTTTCAAAGCAATGTGTGAAGCACTAGTTGGAATTACAGTCTAGGGAGGGAGTTTCGCGCTGCATTGTTGTTACAGTTGCAAAAGGGAGGCGTGTGCACAAGAATTACTGTGTAACAAAAAATAAAGCAAGGCAAAACCAGATGTAACTCACCATGAAGTCACATTGGTGGGCCCAGGTTGTTAAGCTCTGTAATGATACAAGTGCTTGTCAACAAGTAAATCAATTAAAATATACCAGGATATGTTAATTTCAAAATTAGTTAACCCATTATTGTCTTTGGGGCTTTTTATTGAAGGCATGTTGATGATTCAGCACTGTCTTCTTGTTGATAATCATTTTTGTTTTTGTCACAGGAGAAGCTGTTCAACCCCAGTATTCCATCTCTAGGATTGCGAAATGTCATCTACATCAATGAGACCCACACAAGGTAGCTCAGTTAAAGTATCGCTTCCCTTCCATAGTATTTTGCTCTTGAGCAGTCCATTGACATAAAAAAGAGGAACAAAGTTCTAAAATTACATGTTGTTGTTGTGGCATCAGAAGACCCTTAAATTGCCACTTGCACCATGTGACGAGCAAGAACTGAAACTCCTCCTGCTCAGTACAGTCAGTGCACTACAGACAGGTGCTGGCCTGTGTATATTAAACAGCTTTAAGTCAACAGAAGCGCTGGCCCCACATGAAGTTCAAAGTTTGGCGGCTAAAGTACATTTGTGGCCTAAATGTAAACATATGTACAAACAATGCAGAAAAGTCCATTTACTGTAACCTAACATCCTTCCTTAGCTGTGACAGTTCAGTACATTATCAGAATGATAATATGTGACTATTTGTTTAAACTGAAAACCCAAGTTCATTTGTAAACATACATGTATTATGTCTCTTAGTTCAGTCTCCTTTTTGCTCCCTCCTTTCCAGCAGTGTGCCTGAGTCAGTCATGTCAGCAAGAGAAACATTACAAAAAGCAGTTCAAAACCCATACTGTAGCCTTCTTTGTCACCAGAAGGAGTATTTTATAATCATTTAAAATGAAAACATATGGTAGGCCACATATCCTCTCAGGCTCCGTTCATCTTTGTCGCACCTCCCATGCATTCCTGTGCCTGATACAGTCTCTCCCTCCCTCCCAGCGTCTAGCTTGCATAACACCACAGTACGTGAAAATTAAACTAAAACTAAGTAAAAAGTAATGTTTGATAATGAGAACTATGATGAAATGTTTTACATTTTTCTTCAATGAATCAAAAGTAATCAATAATGTGAAACAGTGGAAAGGTGGACAGATGAATAATTTAAAGTGTTTGTCAGTGGACACTGGACACATGCATCCAGTGACTGGCCTCAGTGAGACACCGTAATACCTCAACGTGGATGAATATAAACATAAGCTTGGTGTAAATCGAGACACCTTGAGTTTTCTAAGTCCAAGGTGATCCTTTGATTAGAAGAACTTTGATAGAAGAGAACGCCGTCTCTCTATCACAAGTAACTTAGTGAAGGCTGTTTGACATCATGCTCCAAATTTCAAGGGAAAAACTAGAATAAATTTATATCAAGTTTTTATTCTGCATCATATTGGCGTGTAGACTGAGACATCTCAGAGCAGAAATGGGCTGAAATGAAGAGTTGCTTTTGTCTAACACAAGCAGTATTGTATTATTTCTAAGCTCTGTAAAGTTTAACTAAACTGACCTCAGCATGTCTTTTTTTTAAGTTAAAGATTGTCATTGTTGTCAGAGCTGTCTGTAATGTATTAAATTCCTTGGAAATCGATGTAACCAAACACAAGTTTTGTTTTAATATTCCTGACAGTCATTTCTGAGGTCAGTTAAATTATTTGTGTGTGTGTGCGTGTGTGTGTGTGAGAGAGAGAGACATTTGAAAAGGTGTGTTTCAGACACTAAATCAGATATTCTATTCAAAACATCTAACAGCATGAACTAGTATTATGTTCACAAACAGTATGTTTGAGAGTTAATGCTCTTTAGATGTTCCTCTGTATTCATTGGTGGGTGTGTGTGTTTGCACTCATACAGACAACGGGGCTGGTTGGCACGCAGGCTGAGTTACGTTCTGTTTGTCATGGAGAGAGATGTTCACAAGGACATGTTCGCCAGGAACGTGGTGGACAAGGTGCTCAACAACAGCAGGTAGGCGACAACATAAAAGGAGACATGTAGGAACTGTAGTAAAGAAAAAGTTTCACTGCATGGTAAAGCATCATAAGTAGCTTTTGTGAGAATAAAACACCAGTCTATGGCAATGTTAGTGTTATTAAAATACAGTGGAATATAAAGTGGAAACAGCTAATTACAGTTGCAGATAAAGTGACCAGGTTAAGTCCAAATCTTATAAGAGAAATGCAGCAGATGCTTTAAATGATGGTGTTCTTAGACTTGAGGATGCAGCCTTGTGCTCTGTGTTTGTCAATTGCAGGGTGGAGAGTACTGTTGCTAAGGTAGCCACAGATTTGTGCGCTGCAGCCAGCCATCCTGGCCAGGAGCACAAAGCTGTCAGTAAACTGAAGCAGAAAGCCAGGGCCTTCCTGCAGGAGATGGTGGCTAACATTTCACCGGCATTCATCAGGTACCAAAGCCGCTGAGAACGCTCTTGCATTGTGCTGCCATCTCTTTTATTTTACTGTAGAATAGTACACCTGATAGAATGCTACGATATGTGTGTGTGTTCACAGCTTCACTTTTTTTTTTTTTCCAGGCTGACAGGATGGGTCCTCCTAAGGCTTTTTAATGGTTTCTTCTGGAGCATCCAGATCCACAAGGGGCAGATGGAGATGGTCAAGAAAGCGGCTATGGAAGTCAGTAACAACTACACACACAGAGAAAATGGATTCAGCCGTCACAGCATGCTGCACAAAATGTACAATATAGGTTTCATCTATATTGTGTGACAGGTGTCACACAATGTCTTAACAGACACCTCATACATGTCACAAACGTTTGTGTTTTTATTTATGCAGACATATTTACTCCTGCCTATATGTTTATTATTATCAGTGCAGTCTTAAATACTGATCATCACATACATACATTTCTGATGGATAAATAGTAAGTTTATAGTGCACTAATAATGGAGATGTTAGATCAAATTAGAAGATAAAATTTAGCTTTTACATATAAGTTTGGTTTGCACTGAGAACTGTGTTTATTTTAAAATCATCTATTGCTTGTCTTTACAGCAAAATGTGCCCATGGTCTTCCTCCCTGTTCATAAGTCCCACATCGACTACCTGCTCATCACCTTAATCCTGTTCTGTCACAATATCAAAGCCCCACACATCGCTGCTGGTAACAACCTAAGCATCCCTATCCTCAGGTAAAATACCCATGAAACCTCATGTTTGTATCTGATGCCTTTGTAGCAAGTTCACTTGATAAAAGTTGTTTTGTTTTCAGCACCCTGATCCGTAAACTGGGAGGATTTTTCATACGACGAAAAATGGAGGAGACGGGGGACGGGAAGAAAGACCTTTTGTACAGAGCACTCTTGCATGCAGTAAGTCCCAACAGTCAATTTATCACCTGCAGTAAAGGCTGGGTTAACATAGCGTTTTTCCCCAGTGTGTCGTTATGTAACTGTAGGTTGTCTTCATGCTTTCTCTGGTTACACTTTTCTTTCCTGGCTCATGGACTCACAGAGTTAAAAGCTACTATAATACGTAAACCCAGCAATAATTTGTTTTTCTCTTTTGCTAGTTTTCCTTTATAGGTTTACTGTAGCTTCAGGAGCTATAGCTCACTGTAATACACAGCATTATATTTTCACACTTTCTAAGGAAGCGTAGACTGTAACAGTCCTGTAACATTTACTATAAAACTAAGTTGGCATTTGGCTGAATTGTGCTGTTTTTCTTCTCTGTATGACCTACATAGATCCAGATAATTTCTACATTTTCTAGCCTCTAACTCACTTGGACCTGATGTCAAATAATTTAAATATAGGTACAAAATAAGGTATCATGTGATATGTAGAAGTGTAGGCTAGAGATGGTCACAGGTTGGGATCCCGTGACTGCTGGAGTCTGGTGTAAAATTGTGAAGGGATAATTTAAATTAAACATTGTTTTACCTTTCAACTGTCAAACTGTTTTGTTTATGCTGCATATTTTTTAAGCTGTGTCAGTATAACATCTTAATGTCTGTTGTGTTTCCGCATCAGTGATTAGAGACACTGTTTAAAATGGAATATGAACCTTTTGTCCAACTTTAGTATTTGGTTAATGTGCCTTAACAGCTTTGGCTAATGAGAAATCCTGAAGGAGAACTAATGTGAATATTAATGCTTTGTTATTATAAGAAACTTGGCAGCCCAAAGACTCGGTGTGTTGACAAAATAGCTTAGCTGTTTAGTGGATTTACTTCATTGTGCCAGTCTATCAGAATTATGAATTGCTGTTCATTAGTATGCTTGGAGTTTGTGGGAGAGAGTTGAGAATAATGAGAGAGAGAGAGGGAGAGGCTGCATATGAATTCCTCTAAGATAGCATTGTGCCTGAAAGATTACAGTTATCAGCTGAAGACACAAGCAGCTGTAGAAAATGATGACCCACATGTTTTTTTAGCCGTTGTGCCTCCAGTATTTTATTACACGCAGTGCACAAATTTGCCGCTACAGTTTTGGAAAGTGGACCAAGCAGTACTTTAATTTGGTAGAAGATTACAGTTTCATCTGCCACGCCTTTTGTTGCTCACAGAAATGTCATTAGCTGATTTCCTTTAGTGGAAGAAGTGTAAGCAATAGAAAAAGCCATGTACTACTCTAACACTGGTGAAAGCTGAGCCTGAATGTTGTCAGCTTCACAGCAGACTGGAGTCTATTTCCAGACAAAGCTTCTCTTCTCTGGCTACACAGCATGATGCAGTTGTGTACATACTAAACAGTACTTAGGGAGAGACTGTTTCAAAACTTGGGCTTGGCACTTGCCTGGTTCCCTGCAGTGTATTTGGAGACGCTGTTCATTATGCTTCAGCACTGGTGATAGGAATTATGTTTACAAGTCGTCCATCCACATGTACGTTTGTCCCATGCTGGTGAACACGATATCTCAAGAATGCCGTAAGATAATGTCCTCAGATTCAGCACATGGATGCAAGGATGAACTGATTAGATTGTGATGGTGAAAATCAAGGGCACAGTGACCACACATCCACCCCATTCCCATATACTTAACTACTTGGTGGAGGCATACAACCTTGAGGCAAATACAGTAGAGCAGCTGCACAGCCTTCACTTTGCATGACTTCCACTCAATATTGAGTCTATTGTTTTTTAAAATGTCAAAGATTTGCACCAAATAACATTTTAAGCAAAAATATTCTTTTTCCCATTCAGTGTTTGCACATTTTGTCATTTCTAACATCTGTTACCACCTTTTTCATGTGCCTTTATTTGCCCTTCTCATTTTAAGATTTCTTGTTGTTTCATCAATCTCTTTTCAGTACACAGAGGAGTTGTTGCGTCAGCAACAGTTTTTGGAGGTGTACCTGGAGGGTACACGCTCCCGCAGTGGTAAGCCATCTCCAGCGCGTGCAGGCATGTTGTCCATTGTGGTAGACGCACTGTGCACCGGGTCCATCACAGACGTACTGGTGGTGCCAGTTGGCATCTCTTACGACCGTATTATTGAGGGCAACTACAATAGCGAGCAGCTGGTAAGTGCTTGGATGATGTATGGTCATATTTGTGTGTGCTTTGGAACCAAACAAACAGAATAAAACAATATAATTTGGTTTTGAAATTATGACTTCAAAATGAATTGAAGGAAGGTTGTAATGAAATGGGGTCAATGTATAGACTGCTTTAACTGTGTAATCACACAGTATACATTTTTTTTTCTATTTTTGCATTACACTTCTAAATGTTAACTATGTGCTACTTGAACCTTACAGGGCAAACCCAAGAAGAATGAGAGTTTGTGGGGAATAGCATGTGGAGTGTTCAGGATGCTGAGGAAGAACCATGGTTGTGTTCGAGTTGACTTCAACCAGCCCTTCTCCCTAAAGGTGACTCATTGCAGATCTATATACATCAGCATTTATACAAAGACAGCTATGACTGTCATGGCCACATGTGTTGCTGGGTAATGAAAAGGTGTAATGGACCTAAGACGTGATGATGTAATGCAACGTTTACCATGGTGCCTTGTGGGTGAAAGGTGGGGATGCCATAACACACACTACGAGACAGCAAGAGGCGACACAAACTGATAGATTCAATCAGAAATGGGGCCATCAAAACATTGAAGCATTTTGAGATGTTTTTGCTGGTCATTTGTCCATGCGAATGAACATTAACGTTACTTTTTCACTGCTTGTAGCAGTAGCGCGCTTTGTCGTCCCCACCTTCTACCCACAATGCACTGCGGTAAACATTTGCATTACACCATTATGTCTTAGGTCCATTATTAGTATCTATTAGATTTCAGGTATTTTGGGTGTTTTTCTTGATTTGAATGCACAAGAAGGGTTGAAAAGCTTAATAAAGTAATGACCAGAGACATAAATTTAGAACGGACCATAACCAAAACCCAGTTATCACTTCATTTAGTTTAGATTTGTAGTGAACCTTTTGTGTCAAATGCAGGAGTACCTGGACACTCAGAGGAGCCGCCATGTTCCACCACCAGTGTCCCTGGAACACACCTTGATGCCCACCATTATTTCTGTACAGTAAGGACAAACTCTCCACTTTAAACATCAGTGGTATCTTTGCACATGCACTAAGCAGAGTCCCACAGTCCCACCTGTAATAATATGAACCCTCGTGTCTAAACCTGACATCTACCTCCTGCTACTTCACAGCAGGTTATTTGACATCTGAGCACAGCACTTGAGTTAGCTTAGTCAGGGGTCTCTTCAGTTTAGCGCTGTCCCTTCATAATAAAAGTGATGCTGTATATTTATACAATACAGTACGTCCATAAGTGTTTCATCCCAGCTGGTCTGTTCAGAATACAAATGAACCCCCCTGGATGCACATTGCAAATACTGTTTCATAAGTGTCCAGCAGCGGGTGTCTTAACACTTCAGATGTAGCCTATCCTGTTTGGAACATACAGTATATAACATGGCTGGGTGAGCTATGAAATGATTATGCAGTAAGCTTAAAAACAAAACAAAACCCGTAAAAGTGAGCAGAAACAGCCACAGCTTCAGAATAGAAACGGTAAATTAATAGGAAATTACCTGTACTTCAGTTCAAATCAGTAATTATTTCAAACATAAAGGTAAGTATAAAATTCTTGCATGTAAGGCTGAATTAAGGTTCACTCCCCATTTTAACAGAAACCTCAAATTACATGGAATGACAATCCATGCAGCAACTTGTTCAACTTGGTAGGGTTCAATGTAAAAGCGCTGGCTTATTTTAGACAGAGATGCCACTATATTGGCATTAAGCTGGTCATTGGGTTTTTTTTTTTTTGAGACTTTGCCTATTTACACCGAACTTAAAAACACAGTGTACAACATGTTAAAGATTATTGTCATGGATGCTGCTTTTTGCAGCGTTAAAATTTAAATCCCCTGACAGGGCATCGCAGAAACAGCACCTCGACAAAACTTCACATACCACCCCTTTTACACAGAGGCTGAGGCAGAATGGTTGCACCAATTCTACTACCTCTCATGGTGGAATAAAGGAAGGTCAACACTGATTCCCCATGCCAACCTTTTATACAGAATATTGTAGCAGGAAATTGGCGCGATCATTTTTTCTTAAACAAGCAGTGCTAAAAGTGACTTCTGACTCATCAAACTGAACCCCCCTCTCTTCTTATTACACACACTGAGGGCTATAGAAGCTGGTGCAGATTACTTTGTTACTCATCTGGCAAGTGACTGACAAATTTATAGGTTACATAAAAGGATATCAATGAGCACATACAACAGAAAGACAAAAAAAAAATATCATGATGGATAGCCTCCACTACTACACGCAAGTTTCAAGTGTCTCAGATAAAGTTGGGAGTTTTGCATTTCTGTTTTTGGATACAACATCACAGTGTTATATTACAATGACATCATGAGTTGGATGTACAGTATTGTTCAAAATAATAGCAGTACAATGGTCATGTTGGCTTATGCTGAAGAGGACATGCCCTTGAAATGGTTGTTTCAACAAGACAATGACCCCAAACACACTAGTAAACGAGCAAAGTCTTGGTTCCAAACCAACAAAATTAATGTTATGGAGTGGCCAGCCCAATCCCCGGACCTTAATCCAATCGAGAACTTGTGGGGTGATATCAAAAATGCTGTTTCTGAAGCAAAACCAAGAAATGTAAATGAATTGTGGAATGTTGTTAAAGAATCATGGCGTGGAATAACAGCTGAAAGGTGCCACAAGTTGGTTGACTCCATGCCACACAGATGTGAAGCAGTTATAAAAAACTGTGGTCATACAACTAAATATTAGTTTAGTGATTCACAGGATTGCTAAATCCTAGAAACAAAAACATTTGTACAACATAGTTTTGTGTTTGTACAGTCAACGGCAGACACTGCTATTTTTTTGAACACACCCCTTTCAACTAATTGCCCAGTTGCACAGCCTTAAGAGCGTGCATATCATGAATGCTGGGTCTTGTTTGCTTTCTGAGAATCTACTGCACCTACTGGTAACTTGTTTGCCATGTAGCAATAAAAAATATACTAAAAACCTGGATTATTCTGGTTAGTCACATTGTACTGCTATTATTTTGAACAATACTGTATGTGCAGCCACAGGAAAGTAGTACACAGAGGAGGCTCAAGCCGTGTTTTTCAGAGCCAAAATATCATTTAAATATTATAATAATATATTGGCAGTTTTTATCATTTTCCATTATGCTTCATGAGGTGATGTAGTGTTTGTTTGGACAACCACTTTTTAAAATTGTTGTTTAATGAGATAATTGTTAGACAATGTGTACATGCTGAGTTGTTGTTTTTTTTGTCCAGGCCTGATGCTCCTGTGTTTGAGGGGCAGGAAGAGGAGCAGATGAACCCAGGGCTGCCTGATGACCTCTACAGACGACAACTTATTAACAACCTTGCCAAGCATGTCCTCTTCAGTAAGAAATTCACAACCGCACAGCCAGTGCATTGCTAAACTATACCTGCAACTCTATTGCCACCAAGATCTCAGTGTTAAGCTCTTAACAAGTGACAGTGGAGCTTCTGTGTTGTTGACATATAATACTGAAAGATGAGACCGTGAATAAAGTAGACACGTGGCCCAAGGTCATGAATCATCACAGACCCATCTCTTACAGTGTTCTCACCAGAATGCAGTGTTCAGCTAAATGTGGCTTGGTACTATTTAGCCAATCACCTGTCATTTATTTAAAATGTTAGAGAACATAGAAGCACCCCTCTCTCATCTTTTCTAGCCACAAGTATCTCCTTTTTATCTGATGTTAAAGGTGCACCTATTTACTGGAGCAAAGGCGGGTCTCATGAAATACTATCCATCATACTGCTTCCGTTAATTGAAATCCAACACAACACAGCACAGCATCAGTCCACTTCACATCACTCAGGGTTAGTGCTGGGTATTGAAATTTTAGGGCATCGATCAACTTACTTCAATACCATCAAGTATCGAAAAATGCTTTTCTGCATTTTTATTTATTGATCTTAATGTTACAGATCTTTTTATGTTATGAAGCTGCTTTAAGCACACAAAAATGCCAAGGATTTGAAAAATGAAAAGTTATCTGTACCAAAATGCATTTTTAGCTGTGTTTGTGTGTGTGTTTGTGTGTGTGTGTGTGTGTGTATATATATCGGTACCAGTATCAACGATACTGGATATTGGAACAATACCCAGCCCTACTCAGAGTGGTTTGCCCCAAGGTAGCACTACAGAAACCAGTTCTTCCCAGTTCATTCAGCTGAGCTCTCCTGTGCCTGCCCTATTTTTATTCTGTCCCTCAGCCAATCACAAAGCCTCCAGCTGGATGGCATGTTGTTCTGAGCCAATAGGATAAAGGGGAGGACAGGGAAGCAGAGGAGGGAAGGAGTGCAGTACTCACAAATGCTGTAGCCCTGTGCTTGAAGATGACCTGTAGTAACCCATATGTCTGACACGTGCACTCCCCCCTGTATTTTTTTTTCTTCTGTTCATCTAATGTAATATTAGTATAATGAACTCCTTTTTACCCTGTGCTGTTTGAAAGAAACCTTTTCCTAATTTTACCTGACAAACTTGCCTCTACACATTTTTATGACTGAGATATTTTAAGCCAGCAAGATGCCAAGTGAATAACGTTTGTAATATGTAAAATATTTGTTAGAGCATACAGTGAGTCATAGTTTTTTGTGATAACTAGTCTCGACTGTGTGCCTTGCCTCTGCTCATTATTGATGTGCAGCATAGTAATCATGTTATAGTCTTGAAAATGATTCATAAATACTGTAGGTTTGGATAGTGCCACTTTTGAAAGCTGAGGTTTGACCTCCACCATGTGTCTTCCAGCTGTGTGGTGTTACTTTCAGACATAGCTAAGACTAGTCAGTTGCAAAACTCTTTGTTTTTACATTCTTACCTTTCTGTTGTGTATTGCTCATTATATCTTTTTATGAATCTTTCCTGACAGCGGCTAACAAGTCATCAGCGATCATGTCTACCCATATTATAGCCTGTCTGCTGCTGTACAGACATAGACAGGTAAGTCTAGCTGTCTTTCATGTTCTCTCCTCCTCTCCTGCTGATGTATTGCTGCATGTTGTACAGTCTACTTTTTTCTCCTTCTGTTCCTAAAATGTCTACACCACCTCCCCTTTCTCTTTCACTTATTCCTGTTCATCTGTCTATTTTCCCATGATGCTCCCTTCCTTTACACCAAGGTGATCCAAATGTCACATACCTCTGCATGGTAGTAATTAATGTCTCTCTCTGTTAGAGATCACCCTCTTTCTGCATACTCTTTCTCCACCTCTGTACATTAGTGGTGGGCCTCTGCCCTCTGCAGGCACACTGAAGTAAGTGGGTGAAAGTGGTAACCAGTTACTGAAATTGTCTTCTTGTCCTCAGGAACTGGCAAATCTTATACTGTATATAACAAAATTAAGCGCAGTCATTTTGTTGTACTTGGCCTTGATTAGTTTATGGAATCACCAATTTCTGGACATGATCCATGTTTCTTTGCCCAGGTTTGTTAAGCCTGCATTTTCCTCCACTTTGTTCCAGGGGGTGGTGCTGTCCAAGCTGGTGGAAGACTTCTTCAACATGAAGGAGGAGATCCTGTCACGGGACTTTGACCTGGGCTTTTCAGGGAACTCAGAGGATGTGGTCATGCGTGCCCTCCACCTCCTGGGAAACTGTGTAATTGTGACCAGCAGTGCAAATCGCAATGGAGAGTTCACTATCGCACCCAGCCAAACAGTACAGGCACTTTTTGAGCTCAACTTCTACAGCAATGGCCTTTTCCATGTCTTCATTTCTGATGCGATCATTGGTATGTTGGGTCAGCAGCTTGTTGTTGTTTATCATTTAGCTGCATTACTCTCCAAGCTGTCCTCTCCCAAGATTCACACTGTATAGGGAAAGCTTGAAAAGTTCAGATAGCTATTGTGACTGTAATGTTTAGTAGATTGTTTCCTGTTGACTTCAGTAATACCATCAGTTGACTTCTAGTCTCCTCGGTCTAAGATCTTGCCATTGTTCCTCCATGACATTTTCTCATCATTTGTTTCCAGCCTGCAGTATCCTGTCACTGCAGCGAGAGCTGGTCGTGGAATCTGAGTCGGATCACCCATCTGGTGTTCCCAGTAGCCGCCTCCTGAATCAGGAGAGACTCATCCACAAGGCTGCTGGGCTCTCCCGTGCTCCCAGTAGCCTCCTTCTCAGTCAGGAGAGAATCATCCACAAGGCTGCTGGGCTCTCCCATTTCCTTATCAATGAGGTGGCTGTGGCACCTGTAAGTCCCTCCCTCTGTCCCACTTTTGTAGATTTTGTGAACTACATTATGACTGTTATGCTTCATAATGTTCAGAGAAATTTAGAGTAAAAACAAATACCTTTATGTCCGTCTGTATCAAATTGTATAAAGTGAAATGTAAAATGCTTTTTTAATATGCTGTGCTGGAGCAAGACGATAAAACCTACAATAATAGACGACAACAACCTACAACATTACGTCAGGACTGACATATTTTGCAAATAAGCCAAACTCTGTCACTATTTGGTTAACCAGCTTAAACTTGGGCTCTAACATTTATTTAGAATTAAATAGAATCAATTAGGCTATTGATAACCTATTGGCAGCTTCAATCCAGAAGTAGTGATTTTGATATTTGCCTTCAGAATCTTCAGTTTGCTTAAATGTTGGTTGTTTCTCTTGTTGTTGATGAAGCTTTCCAGTTGGTTTCTTCCATGTTTCACAGTCTCCTTCTTTCTCTTTC